TCCTCATCTTCGCTGCTGGAGATGGTCCACTTGCCATGTTGACTGTCCTGAGACATGTCTGAGCAGAAAAACAAAGTACAGACATGTGATTTAACAGTATTGAGGACCACGGAGTAAAACCACTTTTTCTGCATTTTATGCCTTAAACTATTGAAAAAAATAAACCTATGAAAATAATAAAATAGTTACAGTTTCAAACCTTAACCAGTCCAAAGTTTTCATGTCCATCTGAATTAAAGCCAAAACACCTATAACGAGGTACTGCCTAATTGGTTCCTAAAAGAACCACTAAACCTGTTAAGATATCAATGCTGTCCTACAAATATCGTCCTTTGTGGGATCACTACAAGGCACATGCAAATTACACGACTTGCAAAACTCCCATAAATTATAATTTTTGCATACGTATTTTGTTAAACAAACGCACATATAAATTAATTACCAAAATAATGAATTGTTAGTATAATAATTGCACATATATATATTATATATTATATTCCGGTTCCATCAACATTATGGAACAATTCTCCATAAAACCAGACTTGATGCAAAAGTTAGGTATTAAAAACATTATGCATATCTATGAAACAACTAATCAATTATAGAAAAAACCTTTCACTGCAAGCGTTAAACAACCTACCTAAAAATAAAGCATCAACCTAGATCATATACAGTTTAAGCATGCAAATACATAAAACGTAAATAAATCAGTATGCATTTCCTAAGTGGCAATGGTGTGAGTTTTCTTTTTCTGCATTACCACTTAAAAAGAAATAGCAGCAAAGAGTCGATTAAGTCCACCTCTGATCAGACTTCGATAACAACACACTATACCTCTCGGGGTGGGCGGGGAGAATGTGTCCGGAGAGGAACAGGCAGCGTTTCTCCTGAAGTTCCATAGATAACCATTCCGTCTCCAAAATTATCTCAAAATTATTTAAGATGGAGTGGGACAATTTTATTTTCATTTCGTATTAGTGAGTATCATGGAAGATGTGATTCTTTTTCTCGTTTTTTCTGGTTTCTACTATAGAAATAAACCGTAGAAAAAATACTAGTGAACCTATATACTGTAAACCCTTCTGTTGCACTAGGATTTTTTCTGACCCCAAAATGTTTTCATGTACGTTTTGTGAGCACGTTTTGACCCCAACAGTAGTGTCGTTGATAGTGTGTATATTGAACACGGAGCACTGTGAATAGAATGAACACGATCTACCGATTTATATTTTCTGTATCTATTTGTCCTCCTGTGCGGTAGGAGGCGGTGTTGTATCTGATTCTCTTTTGTGAACCTTGATGAAAACGATCATAGAAAACATCTGAGTTCCGGTCTTTTCTGGCTGTGAACTGTTGGTGGTGTGGTCTGGACGGAGTGTTCCTTTCACTTAGTCAGTCTGCAGACTTTTGCTCGTTCCTGTGTTTAGCAGTAAACAGGTTTCACCGGCTGTGTGTAAGAACAATTTCACACTATGGCCTTAAATCTCGTCATCAACAGAACCAATCCGCCTCTCGGTGAGTTAAAATTAGTGAGTCGTGAGGAGTGAACAGTGTTTTGAGCATGTGAGCTGCCGATGACAGGAGGCTATAGTTAGGCTCTTGCTATGTGTCAGCCAATAAATGACATGAAATGAAACTGAAGGCTAAACCGTTCCAGTCACTGTTTTGTATGTTTCTGTTCATACATATTTGCTTGCTGTCATAGTGTTAAAGCAGTGGACTGCCAACAAAGCAGGACAAAATAGTTTAAAAAAAAGTTTAATATTTATAATTACCTTTAAATATTTTTGTTCCAGTGAGTCGAATTATAAAGCCGAGGCATAAACATGGAATATTGGACCAAATATAGAAACAATACTAAAGTTTATTTTGCAGTACAGCGGCGCCTGTCTCTTGACCTATATATGATTTAGAACTGTTTGGACAGCGTGCTCGTGGTGGGGTGGGTTTGTTACCTAACACGTCAAGCCGGCGGCTCATGGCAGTATGTGGCTAACACCAGCTAGCATGTTGCCGTGGCATCAAAACAGCAATAATTACGTTAACTATATGTTAACGTTTCATAGTGATGTTAGCCGTTAACCTTCATCGATGTATTACAAGTCAAACTGTGTGTATGGAATTCATTTTGTGTCAGTTAAATGCACGTGAGGAGTCTGTGAACTTCAACGAATGTCCAAAACACCGCTTCACAAAGCACCGACAGGCTTGTCTGAGCAAATCACGTCACCGAGCCTCGTTTAACTTCATACACACTAAACGTTGCGTATAATTAAATAACACAAGTGGGGGGATTAGTATATTAGAAAGTGGTGTGTTGATTTATTTTGCATTTGTCCTGAAACGTGTGTACACAAACTGTCAGGGATAAATGACAGCGCCGTGCTGCGTTTGCAGTGAACGCGGCAGGCTGATGCAAGGACCGTGAAACGTGGAGAGGTGGGCGGGGAGTGGGTATATATTCTTCACACAGGACACAAGACACACAGTCACAATGCACATTTGGTACATTTTTGGGGTAAATGTCATTTATTATTTTTAAACCACGTTGTAATTTAGAAATTCAAGAACAATACTTATGGTATGCTTACTTTTTGTGTTTTTATTGTATACATTGAACACATTTAATATAATATTTAGAAAATAAATAAAGAAGAAAAATTAAAAGGTAAACGCATCACTGAATAACATATGTATGAAGAACAAGACAGCAGGAGGAACAATAGCAATAATGTGACCAGACCAGTTGAACAGCTTGTCGATCTGATAGAAAAACATTGCTTGTTTTGGTTTTTTTTTTTTTTTTAAAAAAGCTATCAGACATTTATGAACATGTTACAGGCCCAGACTTAAACTGGGTGAAGCAGCTCAGCCTTTCCTTTTGTTTTTATCCATAATTACAGCATAGGCTGACTAACAGTGTTGTTCTTCAGGAGCCCTTCTGGCTGCTGAGCATGTGAAGAGCAGCGTTCAAGTGTCAGTGGAAGAGGGAAAAGACAACCACCTTCATGTCTCTGAGTATGTACACTATCACTAATGTTGTCCAAGCCATTTATTTTGATCAATATCAGGGGATGTGCAACTTTCTCTTGATTTTTCTGTTGTTTTTGTTCTCTTTCATCACTCAGTGCTATTGAGTTCAATGACACCAACTCTATCAGCCGGTACTTGGCTCGTGTGGCTCCTGCTCTTGGCCTGTACGGAACCAACATGATGGAGCAGACTGAGGTGTGTATGTTAATGATATATGTATTTTTCATATTTATTTTAAAATATGTGCACACAAATATACGTACGTCTGCCAGAGCAGTGATTAAGAGAAACATGTTTTAATTGATTTTGTTTATCATGTATTTTAATATAGATGAGCTTTGTTTCTTAAAGGAATATTTTTATTTTGTGTTTTACTCATTATTAGCACTGTAACAGCTAAGGCTAATTAATGCAGAGCATGTTCCCATGAAATGCATTCTGGGAATTTATAGCATTTTCTATTTTCTTCTTCACTCAACTGCGTAGTAATAGTTTAATAGTTACCTATTGATTCATCATCCATCATTAACTGCTAACTCATTTGTCCTGCACCTGTACTTCCAAGGTTGACCACTGGTTGGAGTTCAGTGCTCGTCGTCTGTGTGGTCAAGCTGGTTTGACTGAGGCGCTGGTGGAACTGGACAAAGCCCTGTCCCTGCGGACCTTCCTGGTGGGACATGTCATCACCCTGGCTGATATCTCTGTTTGGGCTGCCCTGAAGGGTGAGTACATTTATATTTCTATACAGGATTTCTCACTTTCACAGTCAAAGAAACACTATTTATCTTACATTAGAAAGCATGCTTTCAACTATTGGATCACTTATCAGAAAACTATATTTTATCAGAATGTCTTTCTGTATTTCTAATTGCGGTTTGGCTTCAGCCCTGGTTGTCTAAGTACTTTCTTTGATTAGATGATGCTGGAGGCTGAAAGATGCTGGTCTCCAGTTTTTAGTACTTGTCCGTTACTTACTGGAAATGAGATTGAGGCTGTGGCACAGAACGGCTGTGTCAGTGTTTTCCTGTGTGCTCTGTCTTTCAACATTTCACTTTCAGTCACGCGATTGGACATGACTTGCATCGACTGGATTCTTGACTAAAAATCGTGCCGTGTGAAACTGTGATTTAGCTAAGATCTTCTTCTAGCGTTCAACAGGTGAATAGTTAAATCACAGATTGTCCGTCCTCCAATCGCAGGTCACAAGGATTGGCAGAGCGAAGGAAAAACCTTTTCCCACGTCAGTCGTTGGTTTTACTTCCTCAGCTCCCAGGTTCCCTTCTCTGCTGTGAGCAACAAGTACAGCGCTAAGACAGCAGCAGGCAACAAATCGCAAGTGAGTTTAACTTTTATAAGTTAATTTTACAACAAGTTGGTCAAGATTTGAATGCATCATTCTTAAATGGAAGCTAAATTGGTCAAGATTTGAATGCATCATTCTTGAATGGAAGCTAGAGACAAAACTAAGTAATACATGTACAGGTAGTTGAAGAATTAAACATTTAATGGCACCGGTGACAATATAATATAATTCTTGATAGTATTGTGAATTAAGAGTAAAACTAACTACATGTCTTTATCTAGACAAGCGAGAAGAAGCAGGATTTAGGAAAGTTTGTGGATTTGCCAGGAGCTGAAATGGGCAAGGTGGTGGTTCGATTCCCACCTGAGGCCAGTGGGTGAGTTTTGGTTCATTCCTGGGCAATGGCACAACAATATGTGCAGCAGTAATGTAGATTACAGAATTTATTTATTTGTTTATAATTTCTGTTATTACTCTCTTTTACATGTTCAACTTATTTTAATTGTCTTTTTTGTTGTAGTTTATTCTGCCTCTGTCTTTTGTAAACCAAAACCTTTTCCTGTAGATACCTGCACATTGGCCACGCAAAGGCTGCTCTGCTCAACCAGCATTACCAGCTCACATTCAAGGGCAAGCTGATCATGCGCTTTGATGACACCAACCCAGAGAAGGAAAAGGAAGACTTTGAGAAGGTGACGAACTCGGAGCAAGAAGGAGAAAAAAAAAAAAAAGATTTTACTAAAGTCTAAACCTGTTTTCTTTCTTCTGTCCAGGTGATCCTGGAAGATGTTGCCATGCTCCAGATCCATCCTGACCAGTTCACCTACACTAGTGACCATTTTCCCAAAATAATGGAGTTTGCTGAACAGCTGCTCACTGAGGGCAAGGCCTACATTGACAACACCCCACCTGAGCAGATGAAGCAGGAGAGGGAGCAGCGCGCCGAGTCCCAGTGCAGAAATAACAGTAAGCTCAGTGGGAAACGTGTCTCCTCACCATGCAGACGGCGGAGCTTTGGTAAAAATAATGACATGGAATGTCTCCTCTGTAGCTCTGGAGAAGAACAGGAAGATGTGGGCAGAGATGAAAGCTGGAACAGAGTTTGGTCAGACCTGCTGCATGAGAGCCAAGATGGACATGAACTCCAACAACGGCTGCATGAGAGACCCCACCCTGTACCGCTGCAAAACCCAGAGCCACCCCCGCACCGGAAAGACCTTCAAGTAACTGACTTAGTTTTCATGGCATTGCCTTCAGTTTGAAATATTTCACAATCTGGAAAAAAACTCTGGTCTACCTATACTGCAGCGATTGCGAACTTCCAGCCCGTGGGCCAAATCTGGTCCACCAAATCATCCAATCCGGCCCACGCTTGGATTCCAAAATAAACATCAAATCCTTATGATCCATATTTTATACAGTCACGCAACAACAACTGCTGCTTGTTACATATACTTTATTCCGAATTATAAAGAATTCAATACTGAAATTATCCTATGTCTTTGTTTGCAGCGTCTACCCCACCTATGACTTTGCCTGCCCGATTGTGGACAGCTTGGAGGGTGTGACCCACGCTCTCAGGACCACCGAGTACCACGATCGCGACGAGCAGTTCTACTGGATCATCGAAGCCCTGCGCCTCAGGAAACCCTACATCTGGGAGTACGCCCGACTCAACCTCAACAACACCGTGTTGTCCAAGAGGAAGCTGACCTGGTTTGTGGACCAGGGGTACGTCGATGGATGGTGAGTTCACATGTCATTTTTTTACACTTTTTTATCTCCTTCCTGGTGTTCTCCTCTGACTCTCACCTCCATCCATCAGGGACGACCCCCGGTTCCCCACCGTCAGAGGAGTCCTGAGGAGAGGAATGACCGTGGAGGGTCTGAAACAGTTCATTGCTGCTCAGGTGAGTCTGTCGGCCGTGAACACGTCTTTAAAACAGCAACGGAAGTTCATTTAAAGTTCTATAAAACTGTCTTTTAATTTATAATACAGAAGTGATTTTTTTTCATGAAAATGTTGATCTAGTTTTTGGTTTTGTTTTATCAAAGCTTGGAGATAATTTAAACCAAATAAAGATAAATAGCATATGTTGCCAAACTTTAATATGAAGCTAATGACATGTCCTCCATGAGCACAGCACTGTAATGTGTTTCTGCCAAACTTTAATATGAAGCTAATGACGTGTCCTCCGTGAGCACAGCACTCTAATGTTTTTAGGTCACAATATTAAATTAAAATATGGCCATTACTTTCTTTATGTATTATTAAAATGATTGACTTTTCCCATATATTTCCCTTCTTCTCCAGGGAGGATCCAGGTCTGTGGTGAACATGGAGTGGGACAAGATCTGGGCCTTTAATAAGAAGGTAGGTTCTCCTCATGTGGAGCAAGTCTTTACCTTCAAATGACTTTGAAAAACCATAAAGACAATGTATTTGCAGAAGTATAACTCAATGCATTTACTTCTAGTCGGTGTCTGTTGAACCATTGTATCTGTGTGCTGCTTTCACTGGTCTTGCAATAACCCTTTAAAAACCTTATGAAGGTTATTAACAACAAAGATGTGTCCATACGACTGTCATTGCAACCAACATTTTTTCTTTAGTCACCGGGACACATTAGTGTTAAAACCTGCCTCCCTAATTTGTGAAGAATTAATTTTGCTTTTTAAAATTGGACTGAATTACAGCAAACTCACTGATGATGATGTCAACGATAGATGAACAAATGTTGCTTTGGAAACATTTTACACCCAGACTCTTTATGGATCAGAATTAAACTGTGCTGCATGCAAGTGTAGTTCCACCAGGATTCTGCAGCCCGTGTACATGAGAGTTTCAGAGCCTTTGGTTTCAGCGCTGGCATGGCTTCCTTCCTGCTTCTTCCTCGTGTTTTTCTTTTGTTTTTGTTTACACTTCTCATTTGCCTCATTCTCCCCTGACACTCATCCATCCACCATCACTTATAACAGAAGTGGAAGAAACCCTTACCAACTAAAGAAGACATTTCATTTCATGTCCGCTCACACACACACTCACACTCATACACTTTGTTTTTCATGTTGTGCTGTCACCCCGTTGCTTACGTGTGTGTGTTGGCACTCGCTGCTTCATCCCTGAGCCACGAAGAGATGTGGTTAAAACGAAGATCATTTTTTCCTCTCTTTTTTTTCTTGAGGTTTTTTCTTTTTGTTGTAGTACAGGAGCTCAGAGCTGCATGTAAAACTAACCTGCTTCTTCCCTGCCCTCTCCAGACATTTGAATGCTGTCCATTTTTTTACTACTCAAAATTTAAATTTTTTTTTTTTTTCTTTAAAAGATCTGGGATGAGATTTATATCAGATTATATTTGATGTGTTGATGCTTTTAAATGTCAGACAACAAACCCTTTAAATTACATCCCAGAAAAAAAATTATTTAAAAAATGTTTTGTGGAAAGGGTCAATGGTCCATTCTGTGTAAATGTTCCTCTACGGTTTGTCCCCTCTTTTCTCTTCCCCTTCCTCCCGACCTTTGTTTTATATCTGACATTAAACAGCATCTCACTTTTCTGTTTCCAAGCTGCCAGTTAGCTGTGTGAAGGTACTTCTCCTCCACGTCTACCACCTCCTCCTGCTCCTCCACTAGCTCCGCCACCTCCTCTCTACTCTTCGTCTTTTTCATTTTCACCCATTCCCCACCTCGGCTTTAACCATGGCTGGTTTATCTGTAACGCAGCCCTAACTATTTTACCAGCCACGCAAGTAATTTAGCCAGAGTACTGCATATGAGAGTACTGTACATGAGAGTACTGTACATTTCCTTCTCTGTATGTAAACATACAGTAAATTCTCACCTTTCTTTTTATATTGTTGTCAATCAAACATCACCAAAAGGCCAAGTATCACAATAAAAGAAACAGTTGTGCATGAGAAAGACACCTTGTTAAAAACCCCAATAACAGTCAAGAAAATACTTCTGGGTGAAAACTGAGTTCAGTCTTCAATGATTTTGGTAAAAACACCTGAGAGGTGGGTTTGGATTCGGGAAGTGTTGTTTCCATGGGCCTGGTGTCAGATCTGTGTTTTTCTGCTAGGTCAAAGGTCATTTTATCTACTTTTTGTCCACTTTTTTGGATTTTGTTTAATTTGATTTCTGTACAGTAAATTAATTTTCAGAGTCCAGCATAAAGACAGACAGCAGCTGTGGGATAACTGAAAATTAAATACATGTAGAGTGAGCCTCTCAAAAAAAGCTGAGTATGTCAGTGACTATGTCAGAGGAATGCTGAAAAAGCCTTTAGTTTTGCTACATGTGACTATTTTTTTTCAAACTTCAAAGCTCTCCCTGTTGTCTCTGTTTTTCCTGATCATTTTTCACGTCAACTCGTGACACCATTCGTTTTATTTTTATAATATTGTAATCACAACGGCAAATTTCAAAAATTTTTTGAGTTTTGAAAGCATTACATTGACTTAATTTTTCTTTGGTCATAAAAGATGACAACATTTGTTTCCTGTGCAAAATGAGCCCCACTCACTTCATGATTTGCCCCACATCCCCTTGTCTTCACCCTCAACCTCCAGGTAAACCTTCTGAGCAGGAAACTGAGATTTTTTTTTTCTCAGCATCATCCTAAGAGGTTTAAATATAGGCTTTATGCGTTGAACTAATGTACAATAAATGGTTATAATTCTTCAACATTTAAAGGTAAAATACGTCCAACAAAATCAGACTGGCTGGTAAAATGGTGGAAAGATGGAGACTTGAACAAACGGCTAAATATATATACAGTATATATATTATTTTTGCAAGCTAACAAGCTTCACACATGCAGTCAGCTGTTTTCTATCAGCTTGTTTCTCTATTATTTGCGCTTTTCAGTTCAGTTCATTTTTCAGTTTTTTTTATTGAAGCTGCATCATTTTCTGAATTTTTTTTTTTCATGTGCCAAAATCATTATTTTCTCTTTAATTTACACCTTGTTGTTTTTTCTTCTCGTGTGTGTGTGTGTGTTAGGTCATTGATCCAGTGGCGCCCAGATTCACGGCTCTGTCTGCCTCCTATTCTGTTCCTGTGTTTGTCCCGGAGGCTGTAGAACAGATGAAGGAAGTGGCCAAACACCCTAAAGTGAGTGGACTCTCCTACTGCCTTCACTGCAAACTCGTATTTATTTGAATGATTTTTTACCTTTTAATTTATTTACTTTTTTTTTCATATCTAGAACACAGACGTTGGCATGAAGGAGGTTTGGTTCAGTCCCAGAGTTCTGATCGAAGGTGCGGACGCTGAGACTCTGTCCGAGGGCGAGGTGGTCACGTTCATTAACTGGGGAAACCTCATCATCACCAAGATCAACAAGTACGTCCTGCGATGGGTCAGCTGATCCCTGACGTTAGCAATCACGTGCTGTCACGTTTGAAGACAGTGGCTGTCACATGAAACTTAAACAATTAGCACACCACAAAAGAACAGTGTTGCAAAACAACAAAGGCTCATTGATCTTTCCATTAAAATAATCATGTTTTTTTTCCTTACTAATTTTACTAATCTTTACTAATTTCTTTTTCCACCAATCAGAGGGGCCGACGGTAAGGTGGTTTCCTTGGAGGCTCGTCTGAACCTGGAGAACACGGACTACAAGAAGACCACAAAGATCACCTGGCTGGCCGAAACGAAAAGCGCTCCACTGGTGCACACCATCTGCATCAACTACCAGCCGCTCATCAACAAAGCTGTCATCACTAAAGACGACGACTTCAAAGACTACATCAACAAGAACAGCAAGGTCTGTGGGACACGCTTGTGAATACAGTACCCTTTCATTTGGTCTAGAGTCTAGGGGTCAGCGACCTGTGGCTCTTTGGCTTTTATTCGTTCACATGCGCTGTAAATTTCACTCTCCTGCTGCATGACAGTGAGGTTGCTGTCCACAGCAGAGGTGCTGAAATGTGTTGTCAGTTATCAAAAACTTGACGTCTCTTTCGGAGAGGCTTGTGCAGCTCTTCACGGAATAAACTGACTATTTTGATGTTGAAAGTTGGAGATCTGGTCTAGACTCTAGGTTAACATTAGAACTGTCCTGTTTGTACAGTCGGAGGAGAAGATGCTGGGAGATCCCTGTCTGAAGAGCCTTAAGAAAGGTGACATCATTCAGCTGCAGAGACGAGGCTATTACATCTGCGACGAGCCCTATGAGCCCGTCAGGTGAGGAGCAGAGTACAGTGTGTGTGTGTGTGTGAATGACCTGTGTCTATTGGTTGGCTGCCGTCTGACTGTTGTTGTCGTTGTTGTTGGGTGTCTGTAGTCCTAACAGCTGTAAGGAGAGCCCCTGTGTCCTGCTCTACATCCCTGATGGTCACACCAAAGAAATGCCCACAGCTGGATCCAAGGACAAGAACAAGAGCCAAACATCGAGCAACACGGTGAGTTCTTGGGATGAAATTTACATTTGCATAGAAAAGTGGAAAAAAGAAAAGTGTCTTTTGTCTAATTTTTTTTAATGTATATTCTATAATCATATTAATCACTGTGTAGCCATGAATTAATCATGATATGTTGAGATTAATTAACATTCCTATTTAAGGTGGAATTAGATGATATACACTGCATGTCATTCTGCCCATGCATTTAAAACATGTTAGTCTGATATATTTCACTCTAAGTGCAAAAATTAAAAGAAAATCTTAGTCTTTGAACCTTGTGACATTTATGCAGAACATTGGACTTCCTTCAGTGTGTATGTATAAAAGTGCTTCACTCAGACACATTCCTCTTCTTCTTCTTTCGTTAGTCTGCCAAACCTGCCAAGGCTGCAAAAACTGCAGCTCCTGCCCCTGCTCCTGCCCCTGCCCCAACCACTGACATCTTCCACAGCATTATAGCTCAGGGTGATGCCGTCCGTCAGCTGAAGACGGCCAAAGCCCCTAAAGAAGAAGTGGACAAGGCAGTTCAGCAGCTGCTTTCTCTGAAGGTGCATTAGCTGTGACGCAAAAGTGAAAAATGCAAATCTATATAAAATGTTTCTGAATGACTCCAGCGTGTGTTCCTCTGTCTCTCTAGGCTCAGTTTAAGGAGCAGACAGGTATGGACTATAAACCAGGTATGGCTCCTCCCACCCCGGCTCCAGCTGAACCCAAACCATCAGCCGAACCCAAACCATCAGCCGACACCAACGCTTGTCCGTACACCCGTGTCACTCAGCAGGGGGAGCTGGTCAGGAAACTGAAGGCAGAGAAGGCCCCAAAGGTACACAGTCGTTTGACTGGTCACAACCTCATGTCCGTTCACTGTTTGCGTCCTTGTCCGTTTTTCCCATCAGCCTTCGTATCCACAAACGTGCGTTCAGTCCTCCCCTGTGTGCCCCACCCATTTGTCCTTCTGTAGACGTAGTTTCGTTTCGTCCCCTCACGTCCCCACATCCATGAGCATGTGTCCGGCAAATAATTACGTCCCTGTGCCATTTGCATGCCACTCACGGTGTTGTTGATGAGCTGGTTTGTTGATGGTACCAGGAGCAGATCGACGGAGCCGTGAAGACGCTCCTCGCCCTAAAGGCAGAGTTTAAAAAGCTGACTGGTCAGGAGCGTAAACCAGGAATGGCCCCGCCCACCGCCACCACCACCACCACCTCCTCCCCTTCTCCTTCCCCTGTGGCCTCCTCCTCTTCCTCCTCCTCTTCCTCAGGCCTTTATGAGCGTGTTGCGCAACAGGGAGAGGCTGTGAGGAAGCTGAAGTCTGAGAAAGCCCCGAAGGTATCTTTAAATGTCGGATGATGAAAGAGATGAACTCTTATGCAACCAGAGGTCTGACACCTAACACTGAATTTACAATTAATCTGGGATTTCGGTTTTAATTAAAATGTAAAAATTGTCCTATTGGGTAATTTATTTTTAATAACATTGTTAATGTCCAGTAAGATGTCTTGTGTTTCTAAAGTTGTAAGAAAAAGAAAAAACGTTTGTCGCTCTTAACTGAAAAAAAACTTTTTATAATGTGAAAAATATACCCGTAATTATATTTATATTTTTATATAAATGTATTTTTATTTATAACAAGAAACAAAATGTATAATCTAATTTCTACTGCCTAGTCCTACTTTAGGTTAACAGTTAAAGTTTCTGTTATTCTGATAAGACTAAGTTTAAAAAAAAAGAACAAAGTTATGTGACCGTTTCTTTTCATATTTGTTCTCTAGGACCAGGTAGATGCAGCAGTTAAACAGCTGCTGGTCCTGAAGGCAGAGTACAAGCAGCTCACAGGTCAGGATTACAAACCCGGTGAGGCCCCTGTCCAAAAGACCACCCCCACACCCGCCCCTGCTCCAGTCCGAGGCAGCTCCGCCCCTGCTGCTACCGGTCTCTATGAGAAAGTTACTGCACAAGGAGAGTTGGTCAGAAAACTGAAGGCTGAGAAGGCAGCAAAGGTGAGTCAAGTTTTTTTTTCCTTTATTCTAGATTGTTCTGTAGTAAAGACAAAGTGTTGACAGACCTAGATTTGACTTTTCCCCTCAGGGAGTTGGTCGCTTAGAAGGAATTTGAACGCCTTTGTCTGAATGGGGGTTGGTACATATGTTAGCTGCTTCAACAGTGTGGTGTTTTTTTTTTTTCCTTACATTTTAAGGATCAGGTCGATGCTGCAGTAAAGGAGCTGTTGACTCTGAAAGCCGAGTTCAAACAGCAGACGGGACAGGATTACAAACCAGGACTTCAAGTCCCTGCAAGTCCTGCCTCCACCCAAACAACCACGATGGCAGCTACACCGGCCTCCACGTTGTCAGAGGCACAGGAGATTTTTGCACGAGTGGCCCAGCAGGGGGAGCTGGTGAGAAAGCTAAAGTCTGAGAAGGCTCCAAAGGTAAGGAAACAGTGTCAGGCTTTAACTATTAACTATATATAACTGTTTATAACTATACAGGCTTTAACTATTAACTATATATAACATGTATATATTTAACTTTATGACATTTTCAGCAGCAGAGAATGACAGAATTGAGAACCACATTGTTCTGTTTTCAGGATCAGGTAGATGAAGCAGTAAAGACTCTGCTGGACCTGAAGAACAAGTACAAAAATCTCACAGGAGAGGAATACAAACCAGTAGCCGCCACTGGGGGCACAGGTGGAGATGAGAAGAACCGCAAGGAAAAGGAGAACAAGTCTGAGAAACAGGGAGGAGGAGGAGGCAAGAAGGGCAAAGGAGACAAGGGCGGACAGGGCAAGGAGTCATCGGCCGGAGCAGGAGGAGCAGGAGATGGACAGGGATCCAAGAAACAAACACGGTGAGAGGCTGGACACAGGGTGAAAAAAGGGAGCTCCTCAAGGATATCAAGACTGACTTTCAAAATTTAAATTACTGCAGGTGAAAACATGAGGAACAAATGATTTTTTTTTTCTTTTTACATCTTTGTTCATTGAATGATCTTTTTGTCTCATCAGCACAACTTTACTGGCTGGTAGTGAAACTCCTGTCTCACCCTGCACTATCTAGTGTCATTCAGTTAATAATTTGTCTTAAAATTGACCAGTAAATTCATAATGGCTGTCATTAAAACTTCTCATAACCCCTCGTATTCTAAAATCAATTCTACATCTAAACCCACAGTGAGTCTAGTCCCTTTTAGCGTAGTAATAGTGGCTTTTTTAAGCAGTTGATAGAAAGGCCAAAGGCAGGAATACTGGTTCATCTGAAGTATTAGTTGCATACATTTACAGAAACACAAGCCATGGCAGCAGGTCATACCGGTTTCTTCACCTCTGCTGTTGCTGCTTGTCTGTTTGTGTCACTTCTCTTATGAGTTAAGAAGAGATCTTTACCAGGAGAAACATGACCCTTGTAGTGTGGCATTAGACACAATAGCTACATAATATACATAATATTAATATACATAAATTTAGGTCGTTAGCTCGGTAAATTTGAAGTCATTTCACCAAAACACTTCTGTTAGTGTTGGTTTGTAAACAGCAAAAACGCTGGAATCGGAATTTTTGTTCCGGAATTTTTTTTTTTTTTTTTTTTCCAAATATTTACTGCTTGGTTTTACCTGGATACTGAAGACGGACCAAGTAGAAGCAGAGACTCTGTGCCACCGTAGGTTATTGACTGAAGATGGTTTTTAAAATGGAGTTGGTGAGTGTCAACGGTTGCCGTGGCTTTGTAATGCTGCTGCTGTCAGCTAGAGTTACTAAACTCCAATCGCTGCCTGTGTTGTACTGCAGTACTTGTTTTAAATACTCTGTTTCCAGTGAATTATTTATATCCTTGACTCATATTTTGCCTTTTTTTCCCCAGTGTCTTCACTGTTTATTAGTTGCGTTGTAGTTGGCACTGTGTCATAATAAGTGCCATCTCAGAGTATTGTAAATCTTATTCAAGTTCACGGTTTAACATCAGGCAGCGTCGCCCCCTGGTGGCTGTGTGCGTTGTCCCATAGCTCATTTGAGTTTGAGACATTAATGTTAGTCATTTAGTTTCTAACATGGCTACATTCTCATGTTTAGATGCTAATAGTAATTAGCATAATTGTGTTAGTCATTTAGTTTCTAACATGGCTGCATTCTCATGTTTAGTAATAAGCATAATTAGCAGTAACATTTTATTTGAAAATATCCACAAAAAGTGAATACTTTTGTAAATGTTAAAAGTACATAAATTATTTGTTCCTCCTGTTTTTCTCTGTCTGTGTTAACTGGCTTTTGCATGGCTGGTTTGATTAGAAATGGCTGTGTTTCAGTTGTGTGTTGTAGAGTTTACTGGACCTGAGGTCAGTGTGTTGATGTGGAGTCCATAGTTAACATGAAGTTGTTTGGTTTTTTTTATTCATTTTCACACTCACCTGTTCTTTTCTGCTCAGGTTGGGCTTGGAGGCCAAGAAGGAGGAGAACTTGGCTGACTGGTATTCTCAGGTGTGTACCATCAAGATTTTTATGACATTCATGACTCTTCCTACTGTTGTACCCAGTGTAACGTTGTGTCGTTGTTGTTGTTCTCCAGGTTATCACTAAAGCAGAGATGATCGAGTATTACGATGTCAGCGGCTGCTACGTGCTGCGACCCTGGTCCTACGCCATCTGGGAGTCCATCAAGGATTTCTTTGACCGGGAAATTAAAAAGATGGGAGTGGAGAACTGCTACTTCCCCATGTTTGTCTCTCAGGCTGCCCTGGAGAAGGAAAAGTCTCACATCGCAGACTTTGCTCCAGAGGTAAATTAAGACGGTGTCTTCTGGGACTAAACCGTTGGAAGAAACAGAAGTTTAGAAAAGATAATCAAAAACAATTCAGTGTTATTTCCTTTTCTAAGACAGCATTGATAAACGTTGATTTGTCTTCCATGTCAGGTTGCCTGGGTAACCCGGTCTGGAAAAACAGAGCTGGCAGAGCCCATTGCTGTCAGACCAACCAGTGAGACAGGTGTGAACATGAAAACACACACAATTCAAGACAGAATTATTACAACAAAATACATCATTCACCCAGCGATTTTTACACAAAGCAGGGAATTATTAGACCACAGTCTCTGAAGATTCTGAAAATCACAAATTTGTATGTCAACAGTATGTCAATGCAGTCGTTCCCAATTGCCATTTGTACCTATTTTATTTTATTTTGCTAATGTCAAAATATATTTACCACAAAATGTCAAATATATTTATTGACGCTGTCATTGGTCGACCTGATTGGCTGTGTTTACTTCACACTCGTCTTCGTCTCTTCTCAGTCATGTATCCAGCTTACGCAAAATGGGTCCAGTCCCACAGAGACCTGCCCATCAAACTGAACCAGTGGTGTAACGTTGTGGTCAGTGGGTTTTTCTTTGTTGTTTTGTTTTTAACTCCTTTTTTTTACTAATTGGTTTAAATGGGAATAATAATTACAGGCAGTTGTTGGAGGTTAAACCTGTCTTTTTTCTCCTCTGTCCCCCCTCCTCTCCCCCGCACCCTCACTCTCACCCCAGAGGTGGGAGTTTAAACACCCCCAACCCTTCTTGAGGACTCGTGAGTTCCTGTGGCAGGAAGGACATTCAGCGTTTGCCACAAGAGAGGAAGCAGTTGAAGAGGTGACAGAAGTTGAATTATGCTAGAAAATGTTGACATGATGAGTCTAAAACCTCAGTGGCGTGCCGTGTATTTCACACCAAAACGGACGCATTTAAAAAAAGCTGTCGTGCACAATACGGAGCATCACATGGTTGTCCTCTTAAATCCCTAAAGCTGATCAACTGTTGCCCGGTAAATAGGTGATGCAGATCCTGGAGCTCTACGCCAGGGTGTACGAAGAGCTGCTGGCCATCCCCGTGGTCAGGGGACGGAAGACAGAGAAGGAGAAGTTTGCAGGAGGAGATTACACCACCACTGTGGAGGCTTTCATCTCTGCAAGTGGAAGAGCTATCCAGGTTCTCTGCCCCCCCATGAATTACAAACTGTAATGTTTTTAAAGAAAAATCAAGTCATCTCACCTCTGGCGTTTCTTCTTCAGGGAGCTACGTCCCACCATCTGGGTCAGAACTTCTCCAAGATGTTTGAGATCATCTTTGAGGATCCAAAGAAACCTGGTGAGAAGGAGTATGCCCACCAAAACTCCTGGGGAATCACAACCAGGACCATCGGTGTCCTCACCATGATCCACGGAGACAACATGGGACTGGTGCTGCCCCCTAGGGTCGCCTGCCTTCAGGTACAGCCCCAAACTTTCCCACACAGAGACAACAAAATAAATGTCTGTCAGGTTTCAAGGAAAGCAGAACAAACGACAAACACACAGAAAAATAACAAAACCTTAAATGTGTGTTCCTCTGCAGGTTGTCATCATTCCATGTGGAATCACTGCCTCCTTACCAGAGGAGGACAAGGAGGCGCTGTTAACCCAGTGTGGCAAATACCTGAAGAAGCTGCAGGAGGCGGGCGTCAGGGTGAAGTCTGACCTCCGAGAGAACTACTCCCCAGGATGGAAGTTCAACCACTGGGAACTCAAGGTCAGTAATGGCATAAAAAAAATCACTGATGGGTGTCACATGTCATGTAAATCTTTGGAATAATCACTGGACCTCATTATTTGTGTTCTACAGGGAGTTCCAATTCGACTCGAAGTGGGGCCCAAAGACATGCAGCAGCGCCAGTGTGTGGCCGTGCGCAGAGACACCGGTGCAAAAATAACAATCCCAGAGGCAGAGGTGGAGACGAAGCTGCCCATCATGCTGGAGGACATCCAGACCAACCTGTACAAAAAGTAAGAAAGATAAGACTAGATTTTTGTGACTTTTCTACCGTAGAGTCTCTAATAGACAGAAATGTTTTTTGTTTTTTTTCCTAGGGCTTCAGACGACCTCACGACTCACATGGTGGCTGCACACTCCATGGAAGAGTTCCAGAAAGAGTTGGACCAGGGCAAGGTGAGTGACACACAGACAAATACTCCACATGCAGTATGTGTTTAAGATTTTTTTTTCTTTTCTCCGCCAGAGTGAATTAATAATGTTGTTGTTCTGCTGCACAGATCGTCCAGATCCCGTTCTGCGGAGATATTCCCTGTGAGGACTCTATCAAGAAAATCACCACGAGGTAAATGTGACGTCACCTACAGAGTCTCTAGCCCTTTTACGTCAGAGGGTCCATCAGATATGTAGTGGGTAAATATGAGCATTAATCCAGAGAGTGGAAGAGGCATCACTGCTGTGACAGGTCACAGTGACTCACTGCCTGGTGATGGTATCGACTTCAGGAGGAGTCAGATTAGACGGTGTTTGTGCAAGAGCTGGATATGTAAAGTTTTTAAAGTTTTATTTTCTTGTCGTGTTTTAAGAGGTGTAAAAATAGCAACAGTCTAAATATAAATAAAAGTTGACTTTGCAACAAAAGAATATGATGGAACGGAAAATGAAAATACATTTCAGCAAGTTGTCTTCATTCCTCCGGTATTTAAATAAATGCTTCAGAGATTTCCTGATGCTGCACATTTGTTTCTACATATTAAAAAAAAAAGACATTCGTCATCACTTGTTTTAAATGTTTGGTTTTTTTTCTTCTTTAAAAATCAGGGACCAGGACCTGGAGGCTGGAGCTCCATCCATGGGAGCAAAGGGTCTCTGTATCCCCTTCTCCCCACTGAAGACCCTGCAGCCTGGGCAGGCGTGCATCAACTGCCAGAAGCCTGCACAGTTCTACACCATGTTTGGAAGAAGCTACTAAAATCCTGATTGACCTTTGACCGTCGTAGTTTAAAGGGCTTTCTTCATCCCCCCTGTGTTCATTCATCCTATCCTTATACAGTAGACCATAAGACCACCAGATCTGTGGGAGTGCCCTTGTGTTTTTCTTTATTCTGTTTCAGTGAATCTGAAAATCCATAGAAATAACTATAAATAATAATAGTCATTTCTCAAGTCAATGAATGACGTTTAAAAGCAACTGCTACATTTGGAAATGTTCTTTTTTACTATTATTATTTTTATGGCCTTACTAAAAATTCTGTATCATGAAATGTTAAACCTTAAACCCATGTTTCAGTGATCATGTTGTGTCATACATCAGTGTTTCTGTCAACAGCATTAATGAGTGTGTTCGCCCTCTGTGACATCTGGTAAAAACCTAACAAGCACTCATGGGGGGGAGTTAGGGAGGGGGAGGGTGCTCTGTCACGTGAACAGTACTGTGCACATCTCCAGTCCCTTGTTTCTCAGCCAAACTCTCTCAGGAATCTGCCAGTAGTCAGGTGTGTTGGTGGCTGTTGTCACACCAGCACACGCTGCGCTCTGTTGAACTCTTCATGCTGCGCGGCCCGACGATGAAAACACCCAACAAAGCCAGCTGCGAAGATTGGCTACGTACATGTAGCCTTATGTCAGTCTCTGATGAAAGAACTTACCAACTTGTCTAATAATAAAAAAAATAAAAATGAAAAGCAATAAAAAAGAAAACTGTTTTGTTGCTTTTTCTAGTTTTGTCACATCTTTCACCAAAGTTTTTACTGATGTGCAATTCAAGTGACCACCACAAAATAAAAATGAAAAGCAATAAAAAAAACTGTTTTGTCGCTTTTTCTAGTTTTGTCAAATCTTTCACCAAAGTTTTTACTGATGTCCAATTCAAGTGACCACCAGAGATGTTCATTTATTTACTTTTTTCAAATGTCCCTTTTTCAGTTTCCATTTAGTTTCACTGTTTATTCTGTGTATGCCAGGGACCCTAAACTCTTGGCCCGGGGGTCATTTCTGGGCCATGACACTCTAGCATCTGGCCACACTTGAGATGTCATCTTTTGTTTTAGTTTTTTATGTAATAAATTGCTTTAACTTGGTCATTTAAGAAGAAAAAAATACTTTCAGTTGCTGTAGTTTTATACGCTAAACTATTTGTTAGCACTAGCAGTTAGCAGTTACGTCAGCACAGGCCTACACTGTCGAGCTAAGTGTGGTAAACTAAGAAAAGATATTTATTCCTAATGAGGTTACAGGAGTACTTATTGACCAAAACCACAGTGTACAAAGGAGTACTAGTACACCTTGTACCTTTATCTTAATGGGGATACGATTCTTTTGTGTTCCAGTAGATGGAGTCCAAGTACCAGCAGCGGTACACGTACCATAGTTTAGGCACTATTGTAGTAAACTACCTCTGCCTACGTGGTGACGTAGTCGTGTTCTCAAACTACTCTCCGACCCTGGAGTTCAGAGTTTTGGCCTCAGCTGTTTTGGATCACTTGTCTCCAGGTCCAGACCTGAGTCTGGTCTAGAGACGACTCCTCAGCGGTGGTGTAGAGTCCAGGGTGTGGTTCAGGGCTCTGGTGACTTTCATCATTATGAGACGTCAGACGTCAGACGTCCCAGTCATTTGATAGCACTCAGATAATGTATTCTTCTTCTGCAGGGACTGGGGGAGAAGTCAGGGCCAGTTCAGATGCAGATGTTACTTGTATGGATTTTCTGTCTGTTTCCACATATTTGCAAACAACGTTTCAATCTCTGCTGCATGAATTTGAACCGCACTGACTTCCTTTGATCGGATTACCACCGCTGCATATTGAACTGTAAACATATGCCATATATTACGTGACATCTTGGAACTCTAAACACAAACTTCTGATTGAAGCTGTGTTTTTTTTCTTGTAGCAGACAAAGCCCAGGCTCAGTGCCAAAAAATATCAAAAAAATACATCTCGAACAGACTGAACAGACTGAGTATTAAATACATCATAATTACATCAGTTAGTCACAAAGGCTGAGGACAAATGTTTGCAACAGTCAGACAATTTTAACAAACATCTTTAAATACACATTAACGTGAATCCAACATATTGTAGTTAAATGTGTCCATTGTTCAATTTGTTCTGCATCCTGGTCTACTGATGCAATATATACAGTAATACATACTGTATATAAATGATCTTACATGAACCTTTGTATTATTTGAATAGATTACTGATCAATATAAAAAAAGAAACAAAAAAAATAGAATTCACAAATTTAAAACAATACAGATCTTCCATAGCTGAAGTTTATGGAAAAAAAGGTTTATCACAATTCCATCCAAGTTATCAGAATAAAGTCATAAGTTTACAACAATCAGATCATACACTCACCAGATTAAAGTCGTACATTAACAACATTTAAGTCATTGGTGTCAGACATTAGCGTCACATCGGCATCACAAACTTTAAAAGACGTCTGTCATTTTTATTTTTATATTTATACTAATATTATAACTCTATTCTCGTAAATTCACGACTCGTTATTTAATTTTCAAAAAAAAAGGTGAAATGTACTTCTACTCACTAATATGTTTTTGTTTTTTTCTATTTACATTTTTAATCTTTAATCTTGCAGCGTGTTCTACTGCCGTGGTTTACGGTGAAGGTGGTTTAACCTGAACACATTCGCCATCTTTGTTCTACCGTGAAATCCTGTAACGGTTCTTCCTTTGTCACCTGTTCTTTACTGTGTTCTCATTGTGTCATGTTGAAGATCGGTTCTTGTCACTGTTCTCTCAGTCCTTTCTTTATTCTTCCGTTCTTTATCCGCTTACATTACCTGTATCCTAACAATGTACACAGCTATTCAATAAAACAGTATGACGTGTACTGTGTACTGTATATATATAATCTTTATGAATACACACGAAAGTGTCACAGTGAAATCAAACGTATGATAGCTCCACGATGATTTGTGCTGGTTTGTGCTGCATTTACCAGCTTTTTTTTTAAAAAAAAACAAACTTTTTTTTATTCCGTTTTTTTTTCTGTTATTTCTTGACGTGTCCTTGTGTTTTTTCTGCCATTTGTATGGGATTATCTATGAGAAACTCTAGACCTGGTTGTCTGGAAAAAATAGCAAAATATATAGAAATACGAAAAAATTCTGTTGTCATTTGACTGGAGGACACATGATGGCACCAGAGCTCGATGGTCTTTGACCTGACAGTCTCACACTGGAGTCTTGGGGCCACTTCCAGCCCCTGACCAACACATATAATGATGACGTTTTGCCCTTGAGGGGATGTTTTTTTATTTATTCAATTGAAATTCTTTGTTGTTGTTGTTGTTGTTGTCTGTAGTGGTGGTTGTTTTTGTTATTACGTCCTCTGCGTCGGTGCATTTCTACTTATGAAACAGCAGTGGTTCTTGAATTAAGGCAGGATTCCTGATGGAAGGTGTTAAATATCTGCGTGACTCAGTCAACAACCTGAGAGCTGATCAGGTCTGACTGCAGATTTTAATTCGATCGATTTTTCTTGACTTTGCTTAAACTTCTGCAAACTAAGTTTCAGGCTGCTGCATGAATACACATTATACTACTGACCTGGGACTGTCTGTGTGTGTGTGTACGTGTGTGTGTGTTTCCTCCTGGTTATTTCATTACATTACCTTTATGTTTTCTGCACAACACCACTTTCCATCAAATTTCCAGATTCATTCCAGCCAGAGTGGCTTCACAGTTATATAATTACATATAACACTGACAAGTATTAGATACAAATTTCTACAAACCAATACAAGTATTTTAATGAGGACAGTAAATAGGTTTTTATTTTCTTCTCATTAACTGAAGGCAAATTGTATTCCAAATAAAAAACAAAATGTTCATCTTTAAAGTTAGAAAATCACAGCAGTGAATGAAGCATCTGTCACTGGATTGGTACTAGTTAGAAAATCACAGCAGTGAATGAAGTATCTGTCACTGGATTGGTACGTGTTTTTGGATACAAGTATGAGTACTAGGTACTAAGAGCAAGTAACAGTACTGGTATTGGTATTGGTGGACCACTACTTCAAAGTGTGTTTAATTTTTTAACTGAAATACTGTGTGAGTATATGCCAGTGACTGCTGTATACAGTACTCTTATATGTTAAATACTTGAAAAATACATATGTAGAATACTAACAGTATTTGTTTTTCCACAGATCTCCTGGAGAATGAATATCATTGGATTACTTCGTCATTGAATCTGTGCGCTCAGCAGACACTCACTTTAATAAACACAATCAAATACTACAGTACTGTATATTCATCCGTGACTACACTGTTGTCCGCTGTCTCCAACGAGACCCACAGAGTGAGTTTGCAGATCCCTCGACTACAGCGGGGAGAAGAATAATCAAATGGTGGAATGTCGTCCATCTGTAATCTGTGTTCCCTAAAAAGGTTTACATCAAAGAGAGGAGATTAACAATGACCGAGTTAAAACGGCGACGGTGGAAAATGCGTTCCATACGATTGGACGACTACAATCAGAAAGTGAAGTTTGAAAGTAATAACACATGAGCTGACAACAGCAATATTATGAAATTCTTTGCTGGCCAAACAAGGGCTTTTCTTTTGAAGCCACCGTCTGCAAAACAAATGCTTCTGAGAGCAGAAAAGTTTTCCTCGGATTCAAGTCAGAGTCCAAGGCCGGGCCGCTGCACTGAATTCAAAGCTGCACTTAAACACTGAATGCTAAAATTCAACAGCGATGGAAAAGTTTTTGCAGCGGTTGTCACTCCGGTGGTTGACTTTGGTGTGGCGAAAAATGTATTTATATATATATATATTTATAACTGACTTTGATGCAGCTTTTTGGAATATTCCTTTTGACGCAGAAGACAAACATATTTAACCAACATCTGGTCGTAGCTGGTGAATCCAAAAACATCAGATCAGAGTATACACTTTCTCTTTCTTTTCTTTTTTCTTGTACTGCCACACGTACTACGTACTGTGTAAACTACTGCATACAAAGCCCTGTTTATCTGACAGTGGCTGTGGCTGTGGCTGCAGGCGTTAGCAGATAGTATCTGAGCACATGTGCGTCTGCATGTGTTTGTTCCTCTTTCATTAGCTGCTAGGCGTGTATAACAGCATCACAATGCTGATTTACATGGTCAATGATGTCCATTAACAACTTACCTGTGGGGGGTGCACTGAGTAATGCAGTACAGTCTTGTACTACACAAATTTCAGAATATATATATTTTTTTACAAAACTCAAAAACAAACTAAATATATATGTATGTGTATAAACATATATATTTACATATATATATCTATATTATAGATAAATATTCATTAATTTTTTTTTTTTTTTTTTTAGAAAAGTACAAAAGAAATCTGTTGCCCACCTGTTCTGATCTCCAGTTGAAGAAGACAGCGACACTATGTTGTTTTACTATAGGTTTGTAGAAAACTGAACATTTTGCAACTTTTGAATAAATTCTCAGCCCAATGTTCCTCAGTTCCACAGATGCAAAAGCAGCCGCACGATTGGTCCATTCCTGGATATTACATAAAAAAAAAAAACTGGCAGGGATCCAATGTAAAATAGTCTGAAGAGTCACATGCGGCTCAGGAACCACAGGTTGCAGACACTGAAACTTTTGTGTAATTCAGTTGTAACTATGGTCTCCAGGTAATGAAATCTCCAATCCTTATAAACGTAGAGTGACATCA